TTTATTTACTTAGACATGTATCATCCTGATGCCAACAGTATCTAAACATTCATAATTAAGCAACCGACTTGGAAAGGGCTCTCAGTAACTGCATATAATCTGCATCTGTAGCATTAGAAAGAATCAATTCACTGCTCATTTTCTGATGTAACTGAATACTGTAAGTCTACGTCAGAAATACTAACCTTATGGGCTTTGAGAGTATGCACAGTACAAATTTTATTATTGAAGAAAATATATATATGAATATACAGAAAAAAACGTATAGTCACTGAAGAATCAATAATGGCCATGTCTCCACATGGGGGAACTAGGAGTGATTATTTTATTGTTGTTGCTATGGAAAAGTATTCTCAAAATAGCTAACTTAAGAACCAAAGGGGATTTATTACCACCAATGAAATTATCTGCCCTTTCCTGTCTTCTTCACATTACAAGCTTTTAAAGCCTGGGCCAACCAACGTGACTTTACCAAGTCTAGCTACCTACATTCTAATACATTTGTAAGGAGGAAGCCCTCTTGAAGGACGGAAAAATAGCAAGATCATGGTTATAAAGGAACAGACTTGCTCCAAAATTAACAACAACAACAACAACAACAACAACAAAGTGGAGAAGCAACTTAATCATTAGGCTTCCTACAGCAATCTACTTCTATAGAAAAACCAGTCCCTAACATTTCATCTTTAAAAGTTTAAAATACTGTCCTTACACCAGTTTAGACTGATTATACTGTTCCATTCACAAACCTTTCTCTCTGTGCTAGTTAACGGCACTCCGAATCAAAACTTCTACTTACGTCGTTTAAGACTAAGTCTTAGATGTCTGGCTAGTTTATCTGGCAGGAATAAAAGAACAAAAAGAGTTGGGACATTAGCAGCAAATTCATTAGATTTAAGGGTTTGATTTTTTTGTCTGCCTTTAGAAGCCTGCATGTTAAACACTGGTGATTTTTTAATTCTCAATGGAAATGGTGATGGCATTCACTTAACCAAACTAGCTCAAACTACACTGTAGTGAAAACATGCAATAAAAACAAAATTGCCATTAAATTCCTATTTTTCAGACATCACCAAGATCTTCTTATAAAACACAGTCATTTAAAACCCCAGTATAGTTTTCGTCCATGCTTAATAGACCTAAAAGTAAAAAAATAAACCTGTTGCATACCCACACTTTTCATAGCTTGGATGATACATTATTCACGTTCATTTTTTAAAAAAGTCACGTGAGAAAACGTAAACTTGAAATCACGTTAAATTCCGCTGTTACCTAAGTGGTCTGCTTTATTTTCAAAACATTGGTGCAAGCTACACTTTCACTTATTGTCTTGCTATGCTTTGTTGAAAGGATACGCCTTCGTCTTTAAACTCTGAAGAACATTAGAAATAACCAGATTAATTCAAGTACACAAAGTCTTCCAGACTACTCTGGAATATCAACTTGTAAATGGCACAAGTCACAATGAGTAGATGAAGCTTCCCATATGTTGCCGGCAGTCTCTACAGAATCACAAAGAATGGAAAAGTCACAAAGTTGAAATCTGAAATCCATTTGGGGAAACTATCTTCAGACATCTGGCTTAGTAGAAAAAAAAAAAAAGAAGAAGAAGAAGGGAAGAGAAGAGAGAGAAAAGAAAAGAAAAGAAAAAGAAAAAGGGGGGAAAAAAGGCAGAACTTTTCAAGAATCCTGAACTTTTTCAGGATTAGAATGCTACTTAATGTGCCTGAAAGAATTTATGAAGTGCTAAGGCCCTAAAAAAAGTGCCTCTCTTAAACATGAGTAGACGGATACTCTACTCCCAAGCTGACAAAGGCCCATGTTTTTATAACTGCAGGCTTTGCAGGACAGCAAGGAAAAAGAAAACTTACAGAAAACTTAATCACATTTGGCTGCCCATCATTTAAAATTTCAATAGATTTAAGCGATTTAAGTTACACTCTCATTTAATAAAACACCCACACAATGACAAGAATGAGACTTTAATCAGTTTTAAGTGGAGTTTATAACACTAAGAGATAAAGGGTTGTTAACAAACACAATAACAAATGGACATCTGATTGGTATGAGGCATTATCCTGTACACATCGTATTTTTTTGTGTATCCTCAGTGCATAGCATTTACACACAGAGCCACTGCTGCACAGCACAAGAGTATCTGAAGAGGCTGAATCAGAGTGAGGCTGTTTAACAGACTGAAATTTTTTAGTATATATAATCGATATGAAAACAGATTGAACTTCTGAACTGGCAGGGTAGAAGGCAGCTGGGCCAGACACTGCAGTTCGAGCCCTCCGGTGCACAGTTCCACCCCTCCGTCCGCATGCACGACACATTGACAGTATTTAAAGGTAAACGAGGCACTTTGTGGCAACCACAGCCATCGTTATGAACATATTGCACAAATTTTCTAGAACTAAACATGTAACTTGTACCCTACTTTTACTTTTTAAAGCTGAAACATCTGATGCTGCCGGTAAACTCCACTTAAGTTTATAACCTGTGCCACAGCAAAGAATGGTGATGCTATTTCTTCAACTACGCCTTAATAATTATGGCAAAAAAAATGTTCAAGAGGAGCTACAGAGGACTTGTGATGGTACAGGGCCCAATTGTAAGCTTTCTTAAAAGTGATGCCTTCAAGTAACTTCAGACATGTAAGCGGCTGCACATCCAAAGAGTCTAAGTAAGAAAACATTCCAGAAACTCAAAGAGATTACCTACAGAATGCATTTCAGGCTAATTATGAATACTGTCATAAATAAAGTTTTAATTAGGACTCAAAAACCTTTCAGTCATAGCAATTCTTGTCAAATTCTATGGGGATGGTAACTGAAATAAAGGGGAATAGTATGTATAATATATATTTATATATATAATATATATATATATAATGCCATTTTTCCATTTCCAATGACTACACCATAAAATGTAAGCAAGGCTTCTCAAAAACATTGAAACATTCAAAATCAAAACCCTCATTCAGACCTTCACATTCCAAAGGAAAGATAATAACAGTGCAAAAGCCCATTATAACGTCATTATTTATGACCTGGCCCTCCATGTTACATATTGGAACAACACAAGTTATGTTTTAATATATACTGTGCCCAAAAGTGTAACAAATAACAGTATTAATAACTATCATCAAAACATGAATAGTTGATTTTCATTTTAGTCAACAATTTTCAGCTTTTACGAAAGAAAAGGTGGCATATAAATTTCAATGCTGAGATCTTAGCAACAGTTGTCTCTAACTTTACCCAATTTAACTGGTGAGCAATCAGTTCTCTGTATATCAATGTTTCAATACAAATGTGTAAATCCTAAGAGCTTTGTTAAAAATTTAAAAATTTTTTATTTGTTGAATGAAACTGATGAGGTATGGAAAACATGTCAACATTATATATACCAAGAATATTTTTGATGAAGTTCTGCCTAATCTGTTCACCATCAAACTCTAAAAATGCTGCTCTAATAGGTCCTAATGCAATCCGTATTTGTAAATTAACTAGGGTCAGACCACAGCTAGTGAACAATTTCAGCACCAAGAAGTTATTGAAAATGAGATTTTACACCATTAAGAAATCAATTGGCTGGATATTTCAATGTTTCAAGGTCAGGGTAGAATTTGAAAGACACCAAATTTCGGGGGCGGGGGGACTTCTTTTTAACAACATCTTCACATTAGCTTTACAATAGTAGTTGTATTCTGCTTAAAATCATATGCAGTCTGGGCATATCAAATATATGATATTTAAGAAGTGAAATTGAAGCCCTAGTCCTAACTCTAGCACTATGAAGAAATGATTCAACACTGCACATTAAAAAAAAAAAAATCTATTCTTTCAATAAAAATCGATAAAAGCATTATGTGGGACAATTTCTACTGAAGAAGTAAATGCCTTATTATTTGTGCAGTGTTGAAAATTTACTGCAACTCTAATTTCCTTTTTAACACAAATAATGTCCTTTTAAATATAAACATTATATGTATTCAGTATTCAAGTAAAATTCCCTAACAGTTAATGACATTTAAAAAATGTGCAAAACTGCAAAACTCATTGTAATAGAATGTGTAAGGTCAAAAGGGTGGGACGGCTGACAGCTATCGGATTGAATAAGTGCATCATAAATCTTTAAAGAAAAAAAACGCTTACTGTAGAATCTCAAATTGAAATTTCCTGTGCAGCATTACAAAATATTTTATATTCAATGAGAAAAAAAGCAGCTTGCAGGCAGCACATGAAGCATCCACAGCAGGTATATGATTGAAAACTAATAACGTAAGTGTATGCAGTCGACTGATGTAGGTACTAATAGCATCTGACTTTTCGCACTGGCCTTGATTACACAGGAGATGGAGCGGTCACTACAAGTGAGAAAACATATTTAATAAGTCATTGTCAATTTTTAAAATGTTTCAAGCCCATTCTGTGTTGATAGCCTCCACATTTATATGGTTAAGTCATTGTTGCTGTGTTTCTTATCTATGACCACGTTATTTTTATATCCCTTCATTTGTGGATTCTTAACAAGTTGTGGAAGGTTCATTCCTGTACCCCAATACAGATTCACTCCCTCTAGCTGCCTTTTCTAGCACCAATATGCTTAAAAAAAAAAAAAAAAATGCACAAAACAACAAGCAGTGACAGCGGCCAATTCCTCAAACGTCCAGATTAATAACTGTAGCATGCTAAAGAAAGGTGCGTGGAAATAGCTGGAGACGGCATACGGTCCAGAGTCCAGCGTGAAACCCATCCCTTTCTGAGCACTCCCTCCATCCCCGACCCGAACACATGCATGAGAATGTAGCGGAACCCTCGAGAAACTCCTCTTAGCCAACTGCAAACTTCTCTGTTGCCACAAGTGCAGAGGGGTAGGATGTGAACCTGTATGTCACAAAACTCTTTAGCCACTTCAGTTGGTGACAGAACACAAAATGAGAAATTCCTACGTATACACATCAGTCTGTCTCCACTTTTTATAAAACTGGAATAAAATGGGAAAGTGCCATCTTTATTTATCCTAATTGAATTTTAAATGTCCTTTTGACACAAAAAGGTATATACATGACACAGCTACACAACCTTTTTTCAACTGGACAACAAGTGTCAAAACCCTGTGGATGTATAGGGTAAAACAAGATTGGTCAGGAAAAGAGAATTGTTCCTATTAACTGGTAATCTGACACAATGTCCTATTGCCATTAAAAAAAAAAGGTCCAATTTCAGTTTATTCAAGTTTGTTTTCATGGTGTTTTATCCCTCTTGATAAAAAAAAAAAATTCAGACTTTTGTAATTTGTGTATGCTGATCTTCATCAAAAGGTTCATTCTCTGGATCAGAGTCAGTGGTGTCAGAATATCTATAATGATCAGGTTCATTGTCACTAACATCTGGTGTTACAGAAGTTGAACTGCTAGCCTCTGGATTTGATGGCTCCTCTACTGTTTTTGTGAAGTACAGCTTCACCTGGAGAAAAAAGAGAAGGTTTAAATGGAAAAATCCATAAATCTGACTAATCTTAAAAAATAGAGATCTTTACTAAGTAATTTAACAGATTTGTTTTTAAAAGCGCTACGACAAATATGATCTTTAAAAGGCGGCTGCCTTTTAAATGACCCTCTTCTTCAGATTCCCTCTATGTTCTTTCTTACAATACACTAAAAAGTTATACTGGAATGTTAAAATACTAGTCTTTAATAAGCATAAGCTGCAAGCACAGACTAAATAATTCTACAAAAGAAATGCACTGAGCCTGAAGTTCATCAAGTTTACAAAATGTATTTTCAATCTCGAAATTCAACGTACAAAGAGCTGAGTTCCAAAAGAACATTTCACTTACTACCTGTCTGAACCTCAATATGTTTTCTGATACAAATGATACTGAACAAATACAAATGCCATATCATAAAAATACTGATCAACAATGATGTTTAGGATCAGCCCTAAAACCTCCTGAAACCTAAAAACCTCCCATGAGGAGAGAACATCACACAGTGATCAGAACAGTGGACCAAGGGCCTTTTTACAGGCACAGCCGAGTTAACTGTCAAACAAGTCAACAAAGGCAGGTATTTCTGTTTTAAAGGCGAGGAAGCTAAGGCCCAGAAAGTTCAGGCAACTTGCTGAAGGCCACATGTCTAGTAGGTGGTGGATGTGAGGCTTCGGGGAGATCTGGCAGGAAGCCCCTCGCTCATTCTCTTAAATCGGCAGCCCCTCCCCCATGGTCCAATAGTCTTCACCAATTCTTCTCTTCCACCCAAAATCCGTTCCATCAGTAACTCCTTTCAGTTCCACCTCCAAAATACCATCCGTCCCCACCCTGACAGCTTTTCATTGTGCCCCACAGCCACCACACTAGTCCAAGCAAGCACCGTCTCCACTGGATTAAACCACAGCAACAGCTTCTCAACTCACCTCACAGCTCCGTTCTTGCCTCCTCTCCCTACTCTCCTCTCCAGTCTACATTTTGAAGGAGTGGACAGAATGAACTTTTAAAGACAAAATTCAGATTACATCCATCCTGTGCTGAAAACACACCAACGTCTTCACACGCAGACTCATGTGCTTTAGTCAAAATGACTCCTCCACTGCTCCTCAAAACTACCCAAATTATTCCTGTCTCAGGACTTTTGTAACTGTCTCTGTCCTTCTCTCTTTCCCTAGATATTTCTATAGCTCACTCGTTTCATTTAAGGCCCTGATTAAATGTCACCTGCTTGTAGAGGACTTCTCTTAACTATCCACCTAAAAACACACACCAAATGATCTCTGCTTTATTTGTTCACAAGCACTTACCGTATTATGGTACTTGTTTACTGATAACTGAAATACTTTCTATATGTAATCGCAAATACATATTCTTGTGATATTAAAACAGAAAACAATAAAACCGGAGGACGTCACACTATAAAAGCTAGTAATTAAGGAAAATACAGTGCTAGGTAAAAGACCATCATCAATGGAAACCCGTGAATTCTAAAAGACACTTATAGACACTTAAAAGAAATATAGGATCTAAAGCCACTTAAAAATGGATTTATTTTCACTTAAAATATATAGCCCCTTTATTTTTATTATTACTAGCAATATTCTTATACTTACAAGCTATAGTTAGGCTTGTTGTATACTACAAAAATGGAATGAGGCAAAACAAGGAAGAGAGAATTTTTTAAAAGAGAAAGGAGAAGGGTACGGTGAAATAAAGGGGGGGAGGATCAAGTAGAATAAGAAATAAGAAAGGAGAAAAAAAGGGCAAACTAACCACTTGGAAATATTTATAGATCAGCTTTTCATAGAAAATTCTTATCTATAGACAGGAGCAGAAATACACACACACATCACATATAGATAAAAGTAAATGAAGCAAATACTTCCACAATATGAGGAAGCGGACAGAGTTTTAGAATGGGATTAACACCAGAGGATGATGAGCAAAGGCCTTCCAGGGCACGAGAGACCGAAGCTAAGGCTACAACAGGAAGGCCGAGTGCGGGAAGGGCAGGGGAAAGGCGGAGGGTCGAGAGGTACAGGGAGAAAAAAAGAACCAAAAGGACTGGAGGCAGGAGAGCTTAGCCTGTGGAAGAACTGAAGACAGCCCAGAATGGGGGACTCTCGGGGAGCAGGGGGCATATGGCTAGTGCCGATGTAGGAGGGAGGCCTGTGCTGAATTAGGTAGGTCCTTGTAGGTCCTATCAAAAAACCACAAGGTCTTTAAAAAGGATGAACGGGAGTGACACAATCACGTCTGTTTTAAGATCACTCTGTGGAGTTGAGAACATATGGGAAGGGGACAAAGGTAGGAATTGTAAGAACATTCCCTAGAAGTCATTCCCAAATGACTGAGCTCCCTTCTACTTCTTTCTTCCCCCAGTCCTACTTCACATCCTGCTTAAACTTAACTCCCCTTCCCAACCCCTGCCTCAGATTTCACCCAACAACCACACAGAAGAGGGTTAAGAAAAGAAAAAAAAACATACTTTTTTTTTCTTTACTCTGTGTGCATCCTTGTTAGAAACTCAAGTTACTGATATGGAAATATTGCTTCTAAATAGTACTTAATTTAAAACTTAGTCATGCCAAGTCCTTCACCAGCTATACACCTAAAATTAGACACACACATACATAGAGCCACCCAACGATTCCTCAAAATGTTTTTGACTGACCTTAAAATTTGGAGAAAAGTATCGGTTGGCCTTGTCTTTATTTGCTTTGTCGAGATCATTTTTTGTTAAAGTGAGTACTAGATATTCCTTGTCATTATCTGCACGCTCTATACTGCAAATACTATCAATTTCTTGATCACATAGACTTCCATTTTCTACTTTTTCTGAGGTTTCCTCTGGTCCTGGTATGAAGAATGTATTTACCCAAAAGTGAAACATTTTGTCCTTAAAAAAAAAAAAAGACAGATTGTAAATTTTTTTAAAGAAGAAAATATACCTCCTATATTCAATATCTACCCCAAGAAGTCAGTAACATAAGCCATGTGTCGTTTGATATTTTGAATAAAGACAAACACACAAAACTTGGCAGTCTGGGTTATCTGCCACATCTAACTCACATAAGATTATTCTTTTGTTCAAATTTTAGACCAAAAATGGAACTCCACAAGTTCCAAAATAACTTACTTTTGTTTTAAAGCCTTAAGTAAAATATCACCTTTCTTGTCTAATGTTAGCTTTAAGAAATGTTTTGAGTTCATATGTATGTATGTATTTAAAAAAAAAATCGTAAGTGGATTTAATTTCCTCTGTCTCAACAAGTTATCTATTACGAAGTTAATAAACGTTCCTGAAAAGTCAGCACAACTTCTCAAGATAGCAAGACGGGTACATTTCTACTTCTGAGGCAATACAAACAAACATTAGGTGGCTCCTGTTCCTCACACGACAGTACGAGTGTATGTTTGGAGACTTTCACAATGTGGGGGAAGGAAGACCAGCAATTCTGACTTTTTTTACGTTATAAAATGCCTATTTTTTAAAAATCGCTTCTTACTTATAATATGAGGTCTTGTTAATCAAAAAACACACCAGAAGTTCATGACTTGAAGCCTTTCCTGACCAACACACAAAATGCTCTCTCTCTCCCCCCTCCTAATTACTGGAAGTTGGCCTGTACAGATCACCTGACAGTTAATGATGCGCAGCCTCCTTGTGGCATCTCATCTCATTTAAATTGCCGGTTAAATCCTTTATTCTAATTTATCTTCAAGTTCTGTTATTTTCCCAGAAAGATGGTAAGACCTTTAAGTATCTTACATTTAACTGTCTTTTTATCTTTTAACAGTACCTAGCAATGTCATATATAAGTCTTTTAAAAAATATTAATTGCAAGTATTTCAGCAAAGTCATTGAATTAGTAACTATATCATATTTTACTTAGAGTCAGAAGAACATAAGCTAGTAATATTCAAATCTCCACAAGTGTGGACTCTGTATAGATAACTGATTACACTACAATGGTTTTTGTTTAAATCACAGCAACATTTCTAAAAGGTAGGGGAAATCACATAAAATGGAAATAAACATAAAGTAATCCCAGATACAGATGTATTACAAATAGTGATCTAATCTTAAATTCTGCACGTATTAAAGTAATGTACAGACGATGACTGAAATAAGAACTTATTCACTCCTAAAGGTAAAGGGAAACAGTGATGCAGGTGCCTGTTTTCAAAAGAAAATATAAAACTTTATGTGTACCAGTCTTATAACAAATACAAGGAAAAGAAATACTTACCTTAATTTTTAAAACACTTGCTAATGCTTCCTGGATTATTGAAAAATAATTTTCCAAAGTTACTGAGATATATTTACCTTTCATTTATACAGAATAGGTAGGAAATGGGTTTCTGGCGAAAAAAAACCAGCTCAACGTTTTGTAGAGCTATGTGGATTCCCAGCTACGTGGATTCTGGATATAGGAGACTGTATTTCTTTGGATAAGTCAAAGTAGAATTTAAAATTTTTGTAATAAATGAAACTTGCTCTTATTTTTTTTTTTAAAGCTAAATATCAGGAAAACCAAATCAGTCCTATTACTGAGAATGTCTAAAGACTGGCAATACATTATCTAGCATGTTCCATGAGCAGTACCGACATACAAAGGTAGTATTTTTGTTCACTACTACCCCAAAAGTTTGCACCTTAGGCACACTCACCTTAAATGTTCACTCAGTATTGTAAGCCAAGATAGTTTAAGAATGAGCTCTCGCATTCCCTAACTTAGCTCAGTAAGACGCAAACCTCACTAACTTCCTAAACCTGCATAATTTAATAACACACTGTTTTCATTCTTTATTACTTCCTTTGCATATTAACAGATCTTCTATCTAAAATTCAAAATATTCGATAAACTTGAGGAAGTTAAATACAAAATGATCTGGTTTCAGGAAACATGAACCCTAATGGGGGGGAAATGGTTTGTGTCATTACACAAGACCATGAAACACATCTTTATTTATACATATACCCTAAATCTTCTACAAACTGATAGCCCCTTGCTAATTTCTTAGTGCCTGCTCATCCTTTCCAGAAGGATTATAACTGATTTAATGGGGTATACAATCTTTAATACTTTTACAAAATTTATCTGCATAACCCAACTTAAAGAACGTTCATCTCAAATCAGAATATGTCATAAGGACTTTCCCTTCTAATAAGACTTTTTACCATCAGAATGGCTCATCGATGCTGTAGTACGCAAAGCGTGTGCAGATTCAACAGAAAACCAATTATAATTCATGAATGTCTGTCATAAAATATATCTTATAATCTCTCCTTACAAAATGATTTCTGCTTAACCAAATATTTTAAGCGGAAGATCTAAGGTCGCCGTCCGAGGTATGGTGAGTCCGGGTATTTTTCCCACTACGAGTAAAGTGCAAACCTTTTTTAGCATCTTGTTCTGTTTGTGGAAGAACTCTACTTTGATGTCACCACACACAGGCAGCGGCTGAGGGAACTCGAAGTACATGAACTTGTCTTCCCGTCGTGTGGGTCCCGAATTGGAGGAATAGATCTTCACCTTGAGCTGGCAGACCACAAACTGAGGATCTGCGTGGTGAGATACACATTAGCATCATTTCACAGGAAATGCCTTCAAGTGCCAGACTGCCAAAAACTGTTTCAATGATTACTATTAGCAACATACACAAAACAGGAATTCTGCATCTGTAACCCTGATCTAAGACAAGTCAACAGAAAAACTAAGGTCAAAAAACATAATCAGTCCAAAAGTTTCTCTAACTTGTACCTTCAACATAAGGTTCTACTCACTGTATGAAAACCAATCTGTTTTACAAACAGTAAGTCCCAACATTAGACTTCTGGCACTGCAGTTAACATCAAATTTTAACATTAAGTTGTAAAATACCTAACATAAACTAGATTGATAATTAAAATGCTACAATAATTTCCTGGCACATTCATATTTGCTGCAGTATTTTAAAGTCTCTACCATGTAACAAAACCCACCAAGTACAAACCGCTACATGTTCACAACAGGCATGAGAACATAATCTGTAACATAGTTCTACGAAATTCCATAAACGCAAGACTGAATATTTATAAACAAAACAAAACATTAATCATGATTTATTTTACCTATAGCTCACATTTTACTTCTTAAAGGTATATAAAGCCATCATCATGAGAAACAGGAAGAAAAGAATGTGAAATGTTCGCAAAGAAATACAACAGACTCAAGCACCAATTGAAGCACAAGCCCCCTCCCTCCAAACACACTGCATTTTCATCAACACATATTTTGGCTTTGGCCCCTGTCTGTTTCAAAATAAAGGGAAGGACTACATGGTTTAGTGAGTAACCTTATGAATAAGAAGTGTGTGTTGAAGGAAATATGTCAAGACAATCAAGAAGTAAAATCCTAAGCCTGCAAAGAGTACTAGAAATTTTCGTATATGTTCCATTCTCACACACACACACACACACACACACACACACACACACACAGAGGCATAAAATACTCAGCACCAAAAGGCATCATCCTTAAAGATGAAAAAAGAAATATCACATTGTTTATGAATGTGGCCAACAACTGAGAACAAAGCAAAAAGCTTATCCAAGCTAGATGAATTTTCTGGTTTAATAAACATGTGCTGGCCCATCTATGCAATATCAAAAGCAGTATCAGCACTCACATAATAAATAGGTTTGATAACAGCATACTGGGCTTTTCTAATATGAATTTGTGAGGCACTTATCATGAGAAAAAGGGCACTCCAAAAAAGGGAAACATTCTACCAACAATCTGTCAATAATTTTCACTCCCTTGACTAAAGGTTCAAAGTACAATGAGCCATTTTACAGGATTTTACCTGATTCCGAAATTTTCTAGCTTGAAGAAGCCAACAAAAAGGTACGATTTCAAAACTGTGATAAAAATCGGCCAGGATGAAAATGCCTTGTAATCTTATTAATTCAAACTCCTAATTCAGAACCTGATAATCCTGATTTTCGGACTTTAAACTGCATATTAACTGTATAAGCCAGATTTCAAGTGAACTACAACTAAAATGTGTATCTTCAGGAACCCCAGAATAGTCAAATCAATTCATAAGCTAATTACAATTCAGTGTTACTTAGACTTTACCCCCAAAACTAAGATAAAAAGTTTTAACAAAATTAAGTGGAAAAGATTTTCTCAAATCACTAAAGAAAATAATTTTCCCTACATTGTGAATTTCCCATTTTAGATATCTCACACCTAATTTATCAGAAGTCCAACAAGAGTATGGTTCTGCTGACTTCTAGACACAGTTCAGATATTTTTCCTTTGATGTGACTGTGCTCTAAAGAAATGACAAGTCAATACCTGGTAAACAAAAATCAGAATTAAATTTTTTTGACAAGTGCATACTGATAGAGTATTGACAGAAAAATCACAGTGATCATCTTGTTGACATTTTAACCCTTTTTGATGTTAAAAGTAGAATAACTTTTCCTTTATTTAGAAAATATTAAGACAATTCTCAAATATGAAAAAGGCCGCTAACCCCTGACAGCTCTGCAGAAAATGTTCTATTTTCACAAGTTTTCTTTTCTTCACTGGCTCCTTATCTCCTCTTGAGCCCAAACCTGCAACTCCACGTCTCCGGGCCTCACCGTCCCGGCCCCTCTGGGCCTCACCATCCCAGCCCCGTGTGACCCTTTCATAGAAGGCTGGTTAACTTCTAGCTCTGTTTCCTGAGGCTCCCCAAAGTATCAGATAGACTCACACCTAACAGCCAGACCCATACTTTCAAGCACTCACTGTCTTCATGTAAACAGCTCACCTTCACCTGATTAAGACGGGGTTAAAACCCAAAACATTCATGTCTCCAAGTCTCCGTGATACTCGTTTTTTCTTTCATACCTTCTCTGTGTATTGATCACATGGCCAGAATCAAAACTGACAAAATATCCAGATATAAATGGCAAAGCAAAAAGTAATCAAATCCTACTGATCGCCTTAGCAAAGCGCATCTGGCTTACGGCAAGTCACACAACTGGTTTCCCTTCCCCCATTTTCCCCCATCTTGCAATCTCCACTTCCTACAAAGCCACACTTAAAACACAGCATATGCCTCCAGAATGGTCACTGATGCCATAGTATTTATCACCTCTAGTCTGATAACCCCATTCAAGGTCCTCTTATAGTCAGCCACACATCCCAGTCCTCTTCTATTCTCCGTGTCTACACTCCTGTCCAGCTCATTTCCTACTGGTATGCTTCAATGCAAGCTATTTCCTATTGCCTGTAATATACTTCCTTCGGTTTTAATGCCAATCTAAACTGTATGCTTTCTCTAACGTTCAATGAGAATCCGACTTCCTCCATGAAACTATTTGACAAGCCCCAAAACTTTTATTTTTCTGAGTATACCATTTATAACTTACACATATAATCTCCCATTCAATTATGTATTGCTTTTGTTATAATACAGCTTCATTACATACTATTAAATCACAGGGCATAAATGGAGAACTAGAAAACTGATACAGATTAAAAAGATGTCAGTAGTCAGTAATTTTAAAAGTTTAAATGTAATACTGAGAAGAGACCAACAAAGAAAAGGCCACCACAATGTTTAAGTGGCAGCAGGCAGAGAGCACAACTGACAGATTTTTGCTAGAAGAGGTGAATGTGAAAAGATTACACTAGATAATAAGACTACTGAACTGAATGTTCTCCTCCCCTTAGCAAATGTCCCTAATCTGTAATACCTTTCTTTTGGCTCTTAAACCGGATATCTACCCTACAGGAAGAGCAGGAGTTTTTCCTTCCTTCTTCCTTCTCCCCTATGAATTTAAGTCCCCTATGTCAATTACCTCTGACAGTTCAGTGCCTTGCGTTTAGAAGTTTTTATCAAAACATTATTATTGTTTTGATATAGCTGACTAATATAACAACGTTATATTAGTTTCAGGTGTACAACACAGTAATGCCACAACTCTACACGTTACGCTGTGCTCACTACAGATGTGGGTACAATCTGTCACCATGTAACACTATTTCAGTACCACTGACTATATTCCCTATGCTGTGCCTTTTATCGGCACTTTTAAAAATTGTACTGAGATGACAAAAGCATCAGTGAGGTCTCTCAGAAGGCTATAACATGTTATATTAATAAATCTGTGGTCGTGATGAAATTATCTAGTTCTAAGAATGTAGGAAAGATAAGATGAAGGTGATTACACCTAACTGAAAAGGATAAACACAACCAAGAAATTAATTTCCTAGGTACAAATTAATTTAGGGATAGAATTTTTTAATTATGTAAATATTTTCAAGAAGCGAAACTTAAAGCTAAAAACTAAAATCACTAACAAATTACAGAACCTCACTGAAATATTATTAGAGGTATTCGAAGAAATAATGTAGTGGGATCTTATCTACAAACTACAAAACTGCACTCTAAATAATAAATAAATAAAACTTATTTCTTAAACATGACAACATGGCTAATCACTGCCAAGGCAGAACTAATATGCTTCTGATAAAATTCTGATACAGGAAAAAGCAGCAGCAGTCTGATCTTTCACAGGGTCGGATGATACTTCCTTCTATGCGTTCTCTCTTGACTCACTGCTCTGGGTCTGAGTATGAAGGCTCCTACCAGGCTGGCTGAGAACTCCAGCCAAGAATAGCAGAGAAACAGAACAGGACTGGGGTGACTGAGGAAGGCTTACAGAGGTTAGGGTAAGCCAGAGGTCAATGTGAGGCAGACATCACCGACATTATTCTAGTTAGTATGTATCTAGGAAGTTTTCAGATCTCAAAATATCTTCATTTTATTGATAAGCAAACACAAAGACAGGTAGATGGTGTGCCCGGGGTTGCACAGTACAGCAATGACAGAGCTAGAATGGGAACCTGGATCTAAATCCAGGTTTTCTCTAATGCTCCACATACTTTGACCCAACCCTATTCTCTCAATATACTTCAGCTTTTCACCATGTCTTATCATTTTTTTTCTTTTTATTGTCCCAGTCACTATTACTATCACCATCTAGTCTTCCTAAGTATCAAGGAATCAGTCCCTGCCCCAACACCAATAAACTAACGAATCCCACTGCCACTCTGATGGTAGATCTCTAATGGGATAGGTTTTCCAGTTATCTGATCACAATTTAGGCTGCATTTGGTAGATGCAGCAAAGAATGTTTCTTTCATAAACATAATTTTGCTTCCAAGACATTACATTTATTGGCTTTCTTAGTCCAATGTGCTAAATTGAGCTACTTAATTAGTCTGGATAGTTCAGACATATATGCCCCTGCATAAATGTTAAGTGTTGTTTCTGTCTAGATTTTTATGTAAACTTCTACATATGTTCAGAAAAGTGTTCCAACACACGGAAGGATGAGAATTTAGAGCACTTACTGCAAGTTCCGCCACTGAACATTGGAATAGTTTCAAACATCATCTTGTGAAACAACAGTGCCACTGGTCTATAATCCAGATGATTCTTTAACAGGTAGCTATAATAATAAACATAGCGCCTCTGACTGGGAATAGTTACTCCCTGGTGGACAGGAAAAAAAAGAAAGAAAAGCCACATTCAAAAGAAAAATTCCATTATAGTTATTTCACTAAATTGTTATGGTTACATGGGTTGTGCCCACTGAAGAACATACACACATTAAAAATTTGACCTTAAATGATTAATATTTAAATCCACCTCAACAACACAGTAAATCAGAGCAACATCGGTACAAAGGAAAATACGAGAAGAACTTTTCTCCCTTAAAATCTAGTTATCACAATACCCTCATTTATTCAATGGTCACAGCAATTCCCCGGCCCAGGAACCCGATAAGCAAAGGCCACTGCAGCTGTGTCTTTACACACAGGGCCTCCCGTAAAAATGTATGGACTTTCATTAAACCCACAATTCCTCAAAAGCTTGGTTATTTTTCAGGCAAAAGTATATCAGAATCAGCAGCGTACGTGAAGGTACAGTGCCTTTAAGAGACAGAAACAGTAGCAGCAAAAAGTGATGGCCACAGACCCCAACAAATCCAGGAACATGTGGCTGGCATAAACGGAGACAAGAGTTCCACAACAGAGGTTCCTCAAGATGTCCCCAAGCTGCACGTATCTCTTTGCGGAAGAAACCAGGGATAGACATAATGTTTGAGAAAACTTAAGTATTACAAATGCTAAAAATGTATTTAATTCATGTGCTATTAAAAAAAAAACCACTTATCTAAAGAAAAAATCTAATGTGCGCAGCCATGCATTTATTAGTGATGCAGAATAAATGAGGTATTAGGGTACTTTTTTAAGGTTTCTTTTCCTATTACATGTGTGACTTCAGAAAAATCTTAAGCATTTTAACTTAGAAATAAAAGGCAAATAGTAACATTAAGCTGTCTGACAGTTAAAAGTGACTTGCAAAAAACTTAAAAGTATATTCAAGAGAAAAAAGAATGAGCAGTATTTTTAAGTTGTTACCTAAATTTCCTAATGTGTTAAGAACTCTGGACACAAATGCTTTCGATAAAGTACGTTTATGAGTTTAAAGACAGATACGCAGAATAGCAGGTAAACAGGTATTCACTGTAGTATTCTCAGTAATTTTTAAAAGTTAGCATAAGTTCATTGCAATTAAAAAATACATAAAATGTCAAAAATGGATAAAAGCCATTTCAAATCAGGACAAACGATTTAAGATTTTGGCTCCAGTGCAAAGACCATACAATCAGAAGACTTGGATTGAAAGCTGACAGTCAAAATACAAACTCTGATTTGTTTCCTTGGAAAAATGAAGACAGTTAATAAACGGCCTATCTTCTTCACAGGATTCTCACGAGGATTAAACACTACATGCAGTTACACAAAAGCATGCTAAACTGACAAAACGTTATGCAAATCCTAATTAGTGGTTTTAGAAATTCTATCTATATTTAAAGTACAATTTTAGAAGAAATGGAACTTTAGTCCTGTGTACAGTATTTTCTTAAAGAAATAGCAGTGAAATAGTATTACTGTGAAAAGCTGCTATAAAAATTAATGTTAAAATCATTGTTAAAGTTTACGAAGTGTTTAAACTTAAAATGGTTTATCACATTATTTAATGCTACTTTGGCAAACAACACACTTTATCAAGATAAAACACAGAATTGCAAAGCAGGTTGGGGGAAAATAGCAGACGGAAGACGGCTGGGGAGGAAGGAACCTTTTTTGAACCATGTGAATTTATGATCTAGTCTATAAATTAAATTTAAATCTACAAAATTCAATCAATGGAAGTCCGTAAGAAGGCCAAGTTGTCAAATTATTTGTTGGAGTTTAGTGGAATGACAGATGACCTCTTCCTCTTTATCTTCTTGGTATACGTTTGTATGAATAATTTAAAGGTTTTCAAAGCTTTAATTTTTCTCAAGTAGCAAGTGATTGGTAGCATATCTATAATGCAGCTGTTTATATACAGAGTCAATCCTTACCCAAAGGGCTAGGCACATGTATAGAGAAAAAATGTATGAATGTGTTAGATGTCAACACTGCATGAATCCTTGTGTCTAAACATAAGCTGAACCAAATTACTGACACAATTCAAAGAAAAACACTGAAAAGCACAATTTAAATTTAATTAATGACTTTACCATCAAATTATGCATAACTAAGCTTCCGCAGCTTAACTTTGTAATTCCTACCTACCAGCACCTCCGATTCACTATATTCGGATTAGCAGACATAACAAAGTTGCAAGGCTCAAATATGTATGGACCCCAGGCCTCAATGTGTCCTCTCTCTTCTCGTCTCTCGTGGCCACGATGCACACTTACTAAAATTTAATTAATGGTACAATGAATCAAACTGTTACCTAGATTTTGAAATGAGTGAATGCAACTTCTGTACTAAATTGACAATGCAAATTTATAACACTTGAAATATTGTATTTCCTGAATTCATATACTGAAAATAATGGCTTATGTGCATGTTTTACCTATAGCATTTTGAATATAAAGACTTCATATAAAATATCTCTTTTAAACTCTAAGAAATGAACATTTTTAGGCTCTTCAAAATTTGTTTTACACATATGAAAAGTGGGCTAACCTTTAAAGCTCCTGGAGATTAAAAAATACTACATGTTTTCAAAATGTCCACTTTTCATTTAAGTGAACCAAGAACATTTAAGCTTAAACTGGTCTATAACTATACCCTAAAAGTTATTTCCACCCTCTACCACTAATGACCCACTCTAAACGGGAAGAAAATTACTTACATCCTTAACCTTTTCATCCTCAAATAGAACTTCTAAAACATTCTAATTTTAGCTATACTTAGCATTCTTCAGATCTACTTAACACCACATTCCTGGCCGTCATCTCAAAAGGCAGCCCTCGATTCTCCGAACCCCTGACGCTCACAGAGCAGGAGGAAGGGTTCCGGAGGAGGCTTGGTGTGCCTCCCACCGTTGCTCAGCCCACTTTCTGCAGTCTTTACTCGGTCTCCCTGACTCCCGATCTCCATCATTCGATAGCTCGCTCTTCTGGCGTGCGCGTATCAAACGCTCGACCACAGGGATTTCAGCACGCTGTCGAACCACCTCTCTTTCCATGCTGTCCCATACACCCTCCTCAATGAATTCAGCTCCTATTTCACCGCGGACCCTTAGGTCATCCAGTGTGGGCACTCACCAAATTCCCTTCTCCCATCTTAAAATTTCTTCACTCCTGATATTTTATACAAGTGTCTCTTCATGTTCACCTAGGTTCCATATTGGCCATCGCTCTATTAATTAACCCCTCTCTGGCATTTGCCTTTGCTCTGTTTCCTCCAAATAACCAGCTCAGGTAACCCTCATTCTTTATCCAAAACAAACAATTTAAAGACTGAAAATTCACACTTTCCCCAAATCCTGTATCTCTCTCAAATTGACATCCTCTTTCTCTATACAAAGTCTGAAAAGAGGATGCCTGGGTGGCTCAGTCAGTCGAGCATCCGACCCTTGATTTCAGCTCAGGTCATGATCCCAGAGTCGTGAGATCGATCCCTGTGTCAGGCTCCACACTGAGTGTCAAGCCTGCTTGAGATGCTTGCTCTCTCTCCCCATGCCCCTCTCCCCTGTTCATGTGCACGCTCTCTTGTTCTCTCTCTTAAAAAAACAAAAACAAAAACAAAACAAAAAACAACTCCCAAAGGTAAGCCTCCACTCCTTACCTCATCGGAATCTGTTATATCGAGGCTGATTTCTTCATGGTCATTTCCTGCTATTTTCTTAGTCCCATCTTGGATCACTTTTTGTCGCCATTTTGAAAATTCTCTGCCTGTCACAGGACCCAATCTCTAAAGGTTTTCTCCTATCCTTACTGGCTATCTTGTTTCTTCTTGTCCTTAAAGGTAGGCATACCTCAAAAATCTGATCTTAGAGAGCCCCTCTTTGTCAATCCTCTGTTATTTATAGTAGTTTAATTATCAATCTTAAACATTAACTCCAAAACCTGTGTCTCTCAATATGACTTCATTCCCAACTCCCAATCCAGAATCTCCAATACTTGGCTGGACATTTCTAGCCAAAAACTTTAGAAGCATTTAAAACACACCATACCCAAAAACCGAAGCTTTCATATTCTTCCAACCTCTTGTGATTTCTATTAATGATATTCACTATTTTCTCCAGCACCTGAACCCAAAACCTCTTCTAATACCACCACCACTATTGTTTATTGAACTCTTACCATGTTCTTTGCTTTGTTCTAAGTATTTTCATAAATATAATTTAGTACTCAGGAAGTGGGTATTATTGGTAACGTCATTCTATAGATGAGGTCAGGTCACACATCTTACAAGTAATGGCACTACATTTCATCCTGGTGCTCCAACTCCAGAGTTTACACTCAACCACTGATACAATCCTGCCATCTTCTTCCTGCTAGACTAAAGCCAAGAATCTGAGAGACAGTAGTGATATACACAGGGTTATAGAAAAAAAAGGTAAGGAAACCCCAGCAGTACAAGAAAGGTCTAGGCAGCAGAGTAAAGGCAGAGATTGGTAGGTGTATCAACCACCTGGCATATGCACACAATACACAAACACAACCCCCCCCCCCACACACACACAGAGTACACACAAAATGAAAGGCAAACCGGAGGTTAAGTTCATTTAGAATATACATTTTAGATTCTTACGCATCTATTCAGATGCCAGAGTCCAGATTTCGACTGCGAAATACCTCTCCAAACACCAGTTCCAATTTTCTGTGGCTATTCTGGTTCAGCCACCTTCTAAATTTTGCAATAGCCAACTGATTAGCAGCCTCTGATTTATCTATTCTCCAATCTATTTTTACACCACTCTGTGATTAATTTTACAAACTGTAAGATTAATCACACTGACAATTCAAAATGCTAAATGGTTTCCCAGTGCCTACCTAAATAAGAAAATTTATCACACATTGTAATTCTGTAACAACATAAAAAAAATCTGGGAAGTTTTACATATTTTCTAACATCTAGACCAACTTAGATGATATACTTATTTGATACTTCCAGGTTTGATAGCAGCCACCTGAA